CTCCTATTCTACAGACTATCCTCTCAAAGTAGAAGCTAAACCAGGATCACCTCAATGCATTTCCTTAATTCCAAAGTAGCACTGATCTCTCAACCATCAAGCCCCACCCACCCATGCAGATGAACACAACCAGGAGTGATGAGGCATGCGGCAGGCTGACACAGGAAAATAAAGAGTTGGAGGCTAGTGCGTTAAATGAGATTCTATCTCAAAAACAAACATGCCCAAAAACTGTAACAGGTGTATCCTAAAAGTACTGACTTCTAAGACTGTCAATGAGAAAAATGTCACAATAGATTTTAAACTCACCACATTTATATTACGTATTTTTCTGTTACAGTAAGTAGGAAAACCTGAAATCTTTAACTCCTTAACTACTAATACTTAAAAAGCACCTCATGAAAAACATAACCAACCTTGAGATATTTCTATCTGCATATGCAAACAGAATATCTTCGCTTGCATTTAATTATCACTAGTGCTTTGGAAAATCTGTCAGAAGCTCATACGGCAGATAAGGAAACTGAGGCACAAGGAGCTGATGACTTACTCAAAGCCCAACAGCTGGGAAACACGTGACGCCCAGACTGGAACTGTAATGCCACTAAATTAGGTACCAGGATGTAGTCTCAAATGAATACCAAACAAAACATTCAGTACAGAGTCTGGGTTCAACTACTAATGGCAAAGAATTTTTGCATGTATACATGCAAAGAATAAAATAAAACAATCAAGCTAGACAGACACAAGAACTGTGGAACATTGAGACAAGCACAGCACCTGGCAGCTCTGACACCACACCAGGAAGAGAGGCCACTTACAAAGTCTTGCCTGCTGCTAAGTCTCAAAAACAAAGAACTCCAGAGATGAAGTGACAACACCGGGTGCCTAGGACACAAACTTCCAGTAGACTTAAGGAACTGAGGAAGGGGGCTATAGAGCCCAGAGAGACACAGTGAGGCTGGGTCAGAGACAAATACCCACAGGCAGGCAAGGTGACAAGGTGGTCAAGCTTTCTTCCAGCAAGGGAAGAACCTTCCCCTACATACTGATGCTGGACAGTAAGAAAAGGAAAACTTCATTTGCTCAAAATGCTATACTGTAGTTGTCTCATGTACATAGCTCCAACAACCAACCGACCCTTATAGGACAGGTCTCAGGCCAGTACCAGCAGGGACACTCTAGAACTACAAGTCATATATCAAAGCCTCAAAAACCAGCTATAGCAGCTCCACTTGAACTACAAGGAACTAGCTTTGCAGTCAGAGCTCTACACAAAAGCAGAAATATAGCTTAACATCCAGTTTTCCCTTCCTTGAATGAAGGTCACATCTATACTACCCAGGTCTCAGGAGGTAGTAACATTTGGCATCCACTTTCCCTACCCTTCTACAACTCCACACCAGTCTATCTGAGGCAAAGACCACCTCTCTTCACGATACCAATTATCGCTAGTTAGGCATTTAGCATAATCCGAGCCACATAGGATATATTTACACGCTGCTCCATTTAAACTCAGCCCCAACTTTCCACCAACTAATACCTGGAGCTTTTTTTCTTACGAGAAAATAAAAATAAGAACTTTATGAGTCTCAGTTTCCTGCTCAATAAACAGAAAACTATTTTGTCCTCAGAAGGCTGTCACAAATGATTCACTTAAAACTGTTTAGAGCCTGGTGGTGGTGGTTCCTCATGCCTCATGCAGAAGGCAGAGGCAGGAGGATCTCTGTGAGTTGGACAAATTCAAGGACAGCTGAGACTACCCAGAAACCTGAAACCCTGTCTCAGAAAGAAAGAAAGAAAGAAAGAAAGGAAGGAAGGAAGGAAGGAAGGAAGGAAGGAAGGAAGGGGGAGGAAAAGCGGGCGAGCCAGCCAACCGGGCAGTGGTGGCACACGCCTTTAATCCCAGCACTTGGGAGGCAGAGGCAGGCAGACTACTGAGTTTGAGGCCAGCCTGGTCTACAGAGTGAGTTCCAGGACAGCCAGGGCTACACAGAGAAACCCTGTCTCGAAAAAAAAAAACAAAAAAGAAAGGAAGAACGAAAGAAAGAAAGAAAGATAGGTTGGTTTTAAGAGTTTAACAAATTTCCTTGCCTTGACACATGGTAAGGCTTGAGTTTAATTACAACTACTGTCAGTATGTACCACTGTTACTAATTTCAAAAAACCCAGTAAACAAAGCAGTGATGATAAGCATATAGTTAACAGATTAGATTATCATACATAGTCAGTAATGCAGGTATTCGAACTCAGGTATATTCAATTCCTAAACCCTAGACCTTTCAGCAGTACACTACTCAAAGCAGTAAAGCTCACCAAGGGCACTCAGAACAATTACTTTTCCACGTGTACTGTTTCAGCTATTCTCTCCTCAATGCCAACTTCATTTCAAAGAATTCTGAAAGTCTCATCCAGTTCCCCAACACATGACAGTTTAAGGCTCAATCCTCAAAAAATGTGAGCTCTTCAGTCTCAAACAAAACAGAAGAGGTTGTAGAGATGTCTTGTAACTCAACTCTTTCCTCAGTATCCCTAAATCCATCAGCACCAACATAACGCCTGCTTGCCTTTCTGATCCAAATTCATAGCACAGGATCTTACTCTAGGAGCACCCGCCTCCACTAACCTATTAACGGGTCAGCTCCCTCTTTCCAACTTTGTTGGCTATTTTATTATCCCTATAGTGTGACTGGATTTAGGTGCCTGAGTTTGGAATGATACAGGGCCTGGGCTTTGCCTAAAACCGAAAGGTTTGGAAATTGCTAGGGATTTGGAAAGCAGATACTGTCTGCCGCCAAAAACCCCAAGGCATATATGATTTATGCTCAGCAGGGGCACAAAGAACGCAGACACTTCCCTCTTTGGCGGGCAAACAAGTGCAGGGCACATTTTTATTTAAGACGCCGCAAAACCGGAGGCTGAGACAGAAACATCGAGGCAGGAGAGTTCTGGGAAAACCGAAAAATATGAACAGGCTCGAAACCTACAAGCACCTAGAGATTGCAGCGCCAGTCCACGTGAACGAAGGGGGGGGGGGGTGCTTCACCACCGCCATTTTGGAAAACAAAGGGGGCGTGGAGAAAGGAAAAGTACGCCCGACCGGAAGCGGAAGTGCCAAGGTAGCAAAAGAAAAAGCTAAAAGATCTAAATTCACCCCTTTCTCAAATAAAAGATAAAAATTTAAAACAACAACAAAAAAGCTTCACATATAGGAATCCGGCGCGCTCTCAACGCGCCTACTTGACAAAACGCACCGCCTCCGCCGGGACCACGTGGGCGCGGGATATTGCGGCGCGCACGCGCCGTGAGCCTCGCCCGCCACCCCTTCCCTTAGCGCCAAGGGGAGGTCACGTGAGCTAGGCACGAGCGGCACGGACGTGGGGGGGGCATCGTGCGGCCCTAGGGAAGGAAACAAGAGGGGAAAATGGCGGGCGACACAGGGCGAAGCAAGAAGCCACCCCACAACCCCGACGCCCTCACCTTGTTTATTCTCGTTGAGCTGCCGCTCGAACTCGTCGAAGTCCGACATGCTTAGGCGGCCGCGTAGGGCCCTGTGCAGCTCTCGCCTCGCCTTGCCGCCCGCCCGCTCCGGCTACTTCCGCCGCGGCTTCAGCTACTTCCGGCCCCCGCCGGCACTCAGTCGCCTACCTAATCAAGCCCCAAGCCCCGCCCCGTCCCGACTCCACCCCCTCGGCCCGCCCGCCCCACCCCCCCTCGAACTTCCCCCAGCTCAGCTCCGAAGCTTGTCGGCTATTCTCGGACGGTGAAGTCTGCAGGCGGCGGTCGCCCTCGAAATCACCCGAGGCGAGGACTTTGCGGGCTGCCCAAGTTTCGGTAACTTTTCGAAGACTAGCGTTTCAATGTTCGGAGGATTCCGTGTGTCCTCGCGTTCCCCTACAGCAGCCCCCTCTAAAGATACGGATTCTCCTACAACTCAAACCGTCTCAGTCTCTCGCCTCTGGAAATTCGTCCCACCCCTCGCCGACCCGGTTCAAGCGGTCAGTCACTTCCAACAATCCTAACCGTCCAGGCCTTCGGCTCTTTCCGAAGGTTTCCAGCGCTCGCTCACCGCCCCTCTAGAGATTAAGCCCGATTCTAGTCTTCGGCTCTTTCCGGAGGTTCCACAGGGTCACTCCGCCCCTTCCGGAGACTATCGTCCCTTTCCGCCACTGCTTCGGGAAGGTCTTAGGCACGGGAGGGAAGTTCGGCTTTTTCCGCTGTTGCTTCGGCTCCTTTCGGCTTAAAGAACCGAAAAGGGAGGGAGTACAGATGAGAGGCGGGCCAGATAGCTACGGTGAGGGGGCGGGGCCTCCGCTTTTCTAAGAGAAAACGGAAAAAACTGACCTCGCGGAAGGCCAGAGGTGTGCAGGACAGTGGCAGCCAGTGGGACAAAGGGTGTTAGAGGCCGCTGCGGAGGTTGTTAGCGCAGCTTGGGACGCCTGCGCACGGCGTTTGAGAGGAGTTTCTGCGCCTGCGTAGCGGTCTGAGGCACGTTTTTCTCAGCGCTCGGGAGGAGCCGCCATTCTAAATCCACATTGCGCGTGCGCGCGATGTCCTCCCACACACCCCCACCCCACCCCCAACCTCGGCCCGGTAGACACTAACTTCAAGACGGTTAAACCAGACTGCACTCTCCCGGTTGCCTTGGCAATCGCGTTTAATCGTCCGCCCGTGCTCCTGCTGCGCAAGCGCAGAATGTGACACCTATGAGAGGGCGGGCGGAAACGAGTGTACACAGCGCCCCCTGGTACATCTACGGGGACGGCTCAGCTAAAGGTCATTGAATCAGTGTCCCTGCCGCTGCGTTTAAAGTTGGCTTACCTCAGTTTCTCCGGAAGGAGGCTGCTGCTCCGCTTCCCACCTCTGCCTCCTGGGGCTAATTACACCCTGTACGCCCCAACCTCCCTAGAGGCTTCTGCCTGAGCCCTCCCGTCCCGGTCTCCGTGGCGACGGCCACCCCTTGCCAGCACATCCCCTTTCTAGTAAAACCTGGGGCCCAGTTTATTGAAAATTTTCATGTCTCTTTAATTTAAACTCTCAGAATAATGCTCTGTCTTCGCGTGGGATGCAGATAGGCTACTCCTGGCTGGGGGGCCTAGCTGGCAGCCCTTGCGAAGTGAAATGGAGGTGGGGTGCGGAGCGTTCGCTACCGAGAGACAGGGCCCAGTGCTCAGGAAGGGCAGCTTCTAGCCCTGGCGGCGCCCCAGGAAGCCCAGCTTGGCCAGCAGTCTGCTGGGCGGGGAGGCGTGCGGGGTGGTGGCATCACCGCTTGAAGCGGTAGGTGATGGGCAGGAGCAGCTTGCTCTTTTTGAGAGCCTGCACCTTCTTGAGAGTCTCGTCGTCCAGTGCCAGGAAGCAGCGGCGGGAATACTCTAGCAGGCGCTCCTTGGATGGGTCGAACTCTCCCACCTCTGCCAGCTTTTCAGGAGCCACAATGAGTAGCTCTGCGATGGGCGTGGTCAGCGCCACGGTGTTCCTGTCCACACGGTGGTGCTCGAAGGCTCTGGACATGCTCTTCAGCTTCTGGAAGGTGCCCAGGATCTTCTTGTAGCGGCAGAGAACCCCGTCAGCATCCTTCACTGCAGGACCAAGAGGGCAGAAAGAGGGCGACTGGGAAAGACACTCACGTGGGGCGGGTGACATGGGGGAGCCCAGGTAGAAACAGGAGGGCAGGCATAAGGAAAAAGGGTGAAAGACACAGATTTGAAAGCAAGCAAGAAAGAAAAAACATGGAAATGGAGACACATGAGCCCCATCCGGGAAGAGAAAGGAAAACAAAATGGAAAACAGTTGAGACCTCAGCAAGAAATGGAGATGGACTGGGGGAATTGAAGGCAGGCCCCAGACACTCCTATAAGATGTGCCCAGAGACCTCCTTTCTGATGATACAGGACTGAATCTGCTGGTTGGTGTAAACCGAAATTTAAAATTAACTCAGGACCACAAAGGACTGTGAGATGAAGTTAGGTCTGATTGTTTTGTATATGGGAAGTTAGGGCATCACTGTAGAGCGCTCACTGCGATTCTGGGTGAATAACCCCCTCAATACACCCTCACATGTACCCACTCACCCCGCTGCCTCTCTCGAGCCTTGGGCTTCCCAAATCGCCTCCGGCCAGTACTTCCCTTCTGCTTCTGCCTCTTCCTTTCATTGGCACTTCCCTCTTCCGATACCCCACTGAAGGAAGAGGCTGCCGACTCAGGGTCTGAGGCTTCTCCCCCAACCCCACCCCGGCTGTCCCCATCAACCCTCCGAGGTCCAGGCTTCATCCGGCAGTGGTCTTCTGAAGAGAGAAAAAAATGAATTGTGACACAATGTCCTATCACTGCCCTAAAGGGGAAAAAATAGACATGGAGGCCAGGTCCTCGGGATGAGGACAGTGTCAAGCCCCCAAGTAGACATTAGCTCCACGGAATGTCATAGAGCCCGCTGGCATTCAGGGGATATTAGGAGCACTTTTCTAGGCTCGGAACTTGACTGAAACAGGTCTAGGGAATTCATGAGGATCTGTGACTATGCAGAGCTTCTGGGGGGGAATGTATCCTGTGGAGTTCCAGAGTCAAAATCCAAGAGGCAGACAATGCCTCTGGGTAGAAGGATTGGATATCAGACTCCTACAGAAGTCAGGGTTCAGTTTGGGTACTGGGAAAGGCTAACTACCTTCCCCTAGATAGGGAGCTAACGCAGACTCAGCATCTTCTAAGGGATGGACTCCTAAGGAGAACTGAAATCAAGACTCTGCCCAGCCATCCCAGGGAAAGATTGGACTCACCACCCAGGATAGAGCTCTCAGTGTAGGAAGAGGGGCCATACATGTCCCCATCCCAATGCTGGGTCCCCAGTAAGCTAAACCCTCAAAATACCATAGGTCTTTTTCTAGAGCTTTTGTCATTGTTACCAATGAGAAAGCCTGCCAGCAGCTCAGCTGGATACAAAGGATAGGGTTATGGCCTGAATAAAGGTTTAAGTATTCAAAAAACAAAACGCGCTAAAGATCTGGGGAAGGGCAGCCTAGAGTGGGGAATATGCTGGGGATGGCAGTCAACACAGATTAATAAGGAGATAGCATCCTGCCTATCTGAAGAGGTGACACCACCACCGTTCTGTTGTCATAGGTTAGAGCAAGGCAAGGAAGTGGAATCTGCCCTGGACCCTGAGGCAAAGTTTGGGAGACAAGAGGTACCGAGAGCCCACAACCTTTGAAGAGTAAGAAACATGAACCACAATAATGTAGAGCAGGGTGGAGGGAAGACAGGACTCTGATTGTTATTTCAGGGCACCCCTAATGGATAGATGACTGCATCCTTCAGAAATCCTGGGGTGCTGGCATGGCCCCTCTGAGGAATCCAGTATACTGCAATGGGCCTACTGACAAAGGGACATTTCCCCTAAGATGAGGAAATGAGCTGGAAATACAGACTCAGGGAGACAGTTGTGTCAAGTGTTTGAGGCTGATGAGTTATGGCGCAGTCTATCACAAGGTAGTAAATGAGAGAAGTCTTTAAATCAAGAAAAAAATGTCTGGGAAGAGCCCTAAAATAGGCATGGCCCTTAGGGGAAGGATAAAATGCCAAGTCCCCATCAGGCCCAACCAACAGTGGGTCTTGAATTCTACAGGTCCTGGGGGACTGTGTGCCCCCACCTGCATCCATCCGGGCAGAAGAAATGAATTTGTCCAGCTGACACCGCAAAAAGTCCCTCTCCTCCTCCAGGTCCTCAATGCGTTTCTGCAGCCACGAGTTCCTCTCAAGTGCCATGTGCAGCTGGGCCTTAACACTGTTCATCAAGGCCAGGGTTGGGGAGGTGGCCTCTGGAGGCTCTAGAAACAGCAGGGACGGAGGTCATGCCCCAGGATGAGGCAGTACCCCATCTGACTCCAGTCCCTCCATGCCCTTTCTCAGCTCACCCTCAAAATTTCTCCGAGAGGGGCTCAGACTGTAGAAGATTTGTGAGTCTAGGTGGGGTGCCTCCTCAAAGGGAATGGAGATCTCAAAGGTCTCTTCGTCCTTCACTGCAGAGAGGCCAGCATAAGTCATCCCAGAAGTAGCCTGAACCTTATAGACCACCCCCAACCATAGCTGTGTCATGGACAGAGGGAACCAGAATGTCCAAAGGACCAAGGATGGGGAAAGAAAGGGTCCCCAAGTGCCTCACTTGTCCGCCTACGGTTGTTTCTGTCATTCATATCGAGGCTTCCTGTAGACCCAGCAGCTGAGCCCTCGGGGGCACTCGACAGAAACAGGTCACCAAATGTAGTCAGTCCCGGGAGAGGTGGAGTACCTGTTCCTCCGGAGTGAGGAGGGATCACCAGTCTGAGGGAAAAAAGGACCCATACTTCTGGACAGAGACACTGAGGCTTCTAAAATATGTACCCAGCGCGAGGGGGCTCAGCGAGAGGACTCTTGATTGTGAAGGAGCTCTGCCCTTAAATCCTTTGGTTCCTAGTGGGGTCAACACCACAGGGACACTTTGGCCTGAATAAGAAAGCCCTTCATCATGGACCATCTCCGGACCCAAAGCCATAAATGTAGAAACAGCCACCCCTAACTTCCACTCTTGAGGTGGGGTCCATCCAGCAAGCGTTCCCCTGTCCCAAGCCGCCCATTCCTCCCGTACTCGCGTGGGCGAGAAAAGCCCCTCCCTGATGTGGGAGCTGGGCGCGTGCGCAGTGCGGGGGAGGTCACGCGTGGGGATGCGCCCCCGCCCTTTGTCCCACAAGTGGGAGGGGGCGACCGTGGCAAAGGGTCCCAGAATGGGCAACCGGCATGGGGGTGTCGACCGTGGGCACCGTTCCCCGCCCTTGGATGCTCAGGGTACAAGGGGCCGAGGCCCCGCTCTCACCCACCCGCGCACGGACTCCAGCCCCGGGACCGACGGCAGTGGCGGCGCCCATGCCCAGCGCAGGGGAGCGTCTGCAAAGTGTCGCGGAGAGAAGCGCCCACCCACCAGTAAGCGGGCGCAGCGGCAGAGGAGGGGGAGTCTCGGAACTGGATGGCGGAGCGCGCAGAGGCGCGGGCACTAGCCAGATCAGGCCTGCCGGGCCTGGGGCGCCTCTTCCTGGAGCCCAGGTGAGGCCTGCCGTTTGCGCGGAGGTCGGGACCGCACTTGCGCGATAGCCCCTTGCAATACCCCCCACCCCCTACCCTACATAACCCCCCCCCCCCGCCCTTCCCAAAGCTCAGGCAGGGATCCTCATGAAATTCTCATCCTGCACAGCTGATGAGGTTCCGGGGGTCCTCCGGGTGAGTGGCAATGTGACCAGTGGGCCGAGAAAAGTCAGAAGGTATGAGGCAGTAGAAAAATTGAAGTGAACCTGAGTCCCCCTTTAATGATCCCTAAGGAGCTGGCTAGTACATGCCCATCTTTAGTCCTAGGCGCCTCAGCCAAGCATAACCTCCACCCACCCACCCCATCCATGAATAGGATTAAAGGAATAAGAGGACCAGGATGGGAGAATGGATTGTGTGCTGGTTACTTCTCCACAGTGTGGGTCAGGAATAGCCCCCACTGGAACTGCCTGTGGAACAGCTACACTACAATCCCTGCCCCTCATTCCTCCATGGCCTCAGTTTACTTACCTGTTAAGTGGGAAGTTACTCTCAACCGTCTTTGAGAGGATGCAGTGGTGTGACATATCAAAGGCTCAGCCCAGAGCCAGACCACTCTTGAAGCTTAAGATCCAAGCGCTGTTGGTATTATTTGAAGTCAGTCTTTAAGACACTCCCCCTCTCCCTTCTGCCCCAAAAGAAGTCGTGTAAAGAGGGTAACTACATATGGTACAAAACAATCAGAGGAAGGCAACGGAGAAGACATGTTTATTAGACCTACAACAAGGTTCTACCTGCCTCTCCGGTTCACAGGCAGTATCCTCTTTGGGGTTCTGAAGCCCTGCGGGAGGCATGGCTTAAACTAACCTTGCAGAGAAAGACTGAATGTGCCAACCAAGAGACTAAGCAGCTCACTCTTGCACTTCACTTTCACAAAATAAACTGCAGCCTGGGTCAGCAAGCCCAGGGGGAGCCACCTGCCCTAGATCCCTGTTTCAAACCACAGAGAATTGTATATAACAAAGTAAACTCTAGATTTAAAAGATGTAGCAGGTTGCCCTATACACACTAAAGGTAATTACTGTTAAAACTGTTTCACAGATGTTTGCTGGGCTTATGGTCTGAGGTGCTACATATATATATATATATATATATATATATATATATATATATGTGTGTGTGTGTGTGTTTGTGTGTGTGTGTGTGTATTATATATATTGTAGTTTAAGTGGGGAGAGGAGTAGTGTTCAGAACCTTATTTCCAAAGGTGCTGGGAATGTGATGCAGTCTGTAGGGTACCTAGCATGCACAAAGCCCAGAGTTTCAGTACTCAAGAAGTGGAGGCAAGATCGTAAGTCCAATGTCACCCTGAGCTACATTACGACCTTGTCTAAATAAATAAATAACTAAATGGCAGGTTTGGGGAAACCGAAGTAGGCCTAACTCTCAGAGGAGAAAGGCAGACTTTCCCATTGCCCAGTCAAGGTCTTTGTTTCAGATAGTATCAACTAAAATGTCTCCCAAAAATGTAAGTAATGATTGAGAATGGGATGTGGTGTGTATTGAGTGTCCAATCTAGGGCCCTACCTCCAGTGTCAAAATAGAGACTCTGACTACCCAACAGAGTAGCATCGCCCTCCATTCCTATCAGGAATCCATAATAATAAATACCCCAAGTGTTCAAGGTGCAGGACTGTTCTATGAGGGCTCATTCCCATATACCTCCAAAGCACTGTGATGCACTGACAGCTCAGAGACTCTTCGAGGCTGAGTTTGTGAAAACCAGGCTGCAACTCGGGCCAGTGTCTGAGAAATTCAGGAGGAGACCCACGATCCCTGAGGTCCCCAGAAGCAGTTCATGGATGCTCCACCGAACGTGCTTCTGGAATGTCTTCTGTTCGGTAAAGCAGCACGGGCAGAGTGGGCACTGGAACATGTGTCTCCTGAGTGCACACAGCTGTTCTTCGCCAACTCGCCCCAAAAGGGGCGAGGGCAGAGCAAGCAGCTGTGAGGCCGTCCACCACCTGCCCTATGAATGGAGCGGTGGCTGGCCCGCTTGAATGCCTTCCCGCAGGTGAAGGACTTCACTTCCAAGTGGATGACGCTAGAGGTAAGGCATGTACTGGAAAACCCTGAAGCACCCCAGACAGCTGTAGGGGCACCCCAGGTGTCTATGAGAAGGTATTGTTGGGCCCTGAAAAGGATGAAGTCTGGGGAAATCTCGTGGAGGAAGAAAGCCCAGGTTCTGTTGATCCACCTGTCCAACAGAGCGGGGCCTCCATGGCCTCAATAGAGAGAAGCACCCAGAACTGAGGGCAGGAAGGTGGCAGCATCAGCATCCGTAGATGTAAATGAGGCCTAATGGATAGGAAAGAGGAACACGGACTCCGTTTGGGATTTGTGCTTTGCTCAAGGTCCTCTGTGTTATCCCTATAAGGCCCCTGGGATCCCTCTACTGTCTTCGGGGTTCCACTACCCACTGTATTCAACGCAGTCACTTTCCCACTATACACAATCAAGACCTCAGTCCCTTTGCCCCCATGTGTCCTCCTCAGATCACCCAGCAGCCATCCTGGTCTAGTAATGGGTCCATCTGCTATGTCTAGGTTCTCCCGTTACACGCCCCACCCAAAGTTCTTTCTAAGTGTGAGGCCTCTGACTTTGGAAATTAACCTGGCTAGTTCTCCAAAAGCTGCCTATTGGGACCCCTCCGCGGCCACTAAGTTCTCCATCCCTCTTACCCCGCCTGGTATCCAGTGCAGCAGGCTCTGGGTCTAAGCGGCCCTGGACAGCCTCGGGTTGCTCCCACAGCTGTAGGCGGCAGAGGGACCGGGGACCCTTAGTTTCCCCAGTACCTAGCAGTATCGGGTTTGGGAAATAGGAATCTAGAGAGAGACAAAGGTCCAAGAGAGGGCAGAGAGGGCCTGAGCATCAAAGAACAGCTCCGTTTGGAAACGCACTTCGAGCACAAGGTTCCTATGTGCTAGTGGTCCAAACTCAATCTCCCTTCTCCCAACACAACCCACATGCAAGTAAGAACCCGAGAATGAACTGTGGAATGTTTATTGGGCAAAGAATGAGGGGTCGTGGGATTTAGAGGGAAGTACAGAGGTGATCCAGACCGTGCCGATGTTTTTGTCTTGTCTTCCACGAAGACCTCACTACTTGGGAAGAGTAGAAAACCAAACTCAGGCGAGGTCGTAGCTTTTGCAAAGGTTTACACAGCACAGCCGGACTGAAGCCCAGTTCCAACTGACACCCAGGCCCAGAGAGGCAACAACTTTGGTCTACATCACACAGCTAGACGGGAGAACAGACGAAATGATGTTTCTCTTTGGGGATGGGTGGGGAAACTGAGGCCTAGGGTAAGGCAGTAACCTCAGCAGAACTGGGGCATGTGTGGGAGTGACGCTGTGTGGGACATACGTGGTGGCCCAGAGAGGTCAGGGCTGAGCTCAGTGCAGTCGCACGTGCTGCGCCAGCTCCGCGGCGTCCTGGAAGCGGCGTGGACAGAGCGGGCAGGTGTGAGGTGGACCAGCACGCGCACGGTGGGTGGCGCGGTGCCGCGACAGGTGGCTGGAGCGCTTGAAAGCTTTGCCACAAGCACCACAAGTAAAGGGCTTGAGGTCCGAGTGCGACACACGGTGGCTCTGCAGCCGCAGAGGGCTGGCAAAGACACGAGCGCACTCTGGGCAGCTGTAGCCCTTGCGAGGACCTGGCTCTCCCGGGGTCGCCTCACGCTGCGGCGGGCCCCGAGGTTCCTCCTCCAGCTGCACCGTGTACGTGTAGGGGACCCCATTGGCGTCGATGAGCAGATGACGGCCCAGCCGCGGTGGCCGTGGCCCCGCCACCGAGGAAGAAGTGGAGGAGGGGCCTTCCGCCTTGGGAAAAGGGGGAGTCTTGGGGGGCGGTGGGTCCATGACCTCCGGAGAGGAGGACCGAGGGTGGGGTGGCCGCGGCGGCAGCAGCAGCATCTGGAGCGGCAGCTGGGAGCGGCGGAGGGAAGAGAAGTTAAGATCCTCTCTTCCTTTCAGGAAAAAAAAATCTAAAAAGGAAGATGTTCCCATGCTCTGCCAGACTGTGCTACTGACCTACCTCCCTACAAAGTAAAAAGGGACTCCAGTCCCCATCTCCAGAACTCCCACACCAGGGCTTCGCAACACCCCGCTCCACCCGACTCAGGTCAGAACCTCAGGCATCTTTCGGGATTCCCTCGGCTCATCCCCACCCACCGAAATCAACCTCCAAGTCCATTTCTTTCCTGTTCACTTTAGGTCCTCTCTAATCTCACATTCCAGACACTAGTGGCCTCCGAGATTTTTCTCCCATCTATCCATTTCTCTTTCTCAGATCTCTACTCAAGCTCTGGCTTAGTCCTTTCCCTCAGGTCCCTCAATACCCTGAGAGCCTCCCCAATCTCCAACAGTTGTCGTCGCCTCAAGTTTCCTCCCTAGATACTTAACCAGAGTCCCACTAACCCAATTCCCCACTTTCCATTCAGGGCTCTTTTATGTCATCCCCACACTCTGCAATTAAAGGTCTCGCCATTCTCTTTCCACTCGGGAAAACCCATCGAATATACTTGATTCTCAACTGTCTGCCTCCAGTATGCGCCCCCATCTTGTTACATTTCATTCACCACCGTCTCCACCCACAAAGTATCCTGACATCTTCGTTTCTCTCTCCGTCGCCGCCACCACCTTGGAGCATCTTCCTACTCGGCAGTCATACACCTTCTGGTTTCTTGTTCCCACACAGCTACCCCTAACCTTGGTCCCGCCTCTCTAGATACAGCTGGCATCTCTGGTCCCTCTTCACCTCCTGGGTTATATGATGCATGGCCCCTCGCCTGGGGACCTCTAGCAGCCCTGGTCCTCTAAACCACTCCGTCCCGTTATATCCCCTAGGGCCTTCCTACTCCCCTGGCTTCCATAAGGAGTTTTGGCCTCCCGATGTCCCTCTCTCGGGCTCTGGGCGTCGCTTTCGTCGCCTCACCACTCCGACCCACACCCAGAGACCTGCCGGCCTCGTGCCCTGCCCAACCCAGGCTCCTCCCTCCATCCCGGCCCCCGTACCCGGTGCAGCAGCCTCTCGGGTCCGGGGGAGAACGGGGCCGAGGTCCCGGACGGACCCGGGCTTGCCCTGAGGAGCGCCGCGGTCGGAGCGAGCTTCCGGGCAGCTCCGGGCCGGCGGCGCCGGGGACGCGGGTCGGGGGGCGCAGGGGCGCGAGGGGCGACGGCGTCCCTGGGAAAGAGCACCGTTCAGAAACGCACGCTCCACACACGAAGGTTCCGAGGCTGGAGTCAGCCGCTCTAAAGGGAGCGCGCAAGGGGTGGGGGTGGCGCGTGGCCAACGAGAAGGACCTGCAAAAGAACAGTTCCCAGCTGCGTACCATCCACAGAAGGAGCCATTCCGTTGCTTTAAGTAACCAGTAAACTGAAGCTAGATACTGTGAGGTCTCGCCAGCCACCCATAAAGAATTGGAATGTACACCTTGTTGTCTTTCCACTCTGCCTCCCCTTTCCGCTGAGGCAAAACTACTCAAGGCAGCGGGTTAGAGAAGGGGTGTTACTGTTGGATGAGCAAATGGAGAGACTGAGGGCCAGAGGCCAGATCTCTGTTCTGGTTTGGCCCAGTCACAATCCTCATGTCTCATAAATGAGGAAATCAATGCTCAAAGAAGATGTTGCCAGATTAGATAAGGTATATGTGCTCCACTGAACATATGGGGAAACAGAGGCTGGAGACGTCCAGATGTTGACACACAAAGGAAAATGTACTAATTCCTGCTGAGCATATGGGGACTCTAAAAACTGGAGCCTGCTTGCTAGGTATAAAAATGGGGACAGAACTGGAGATATTATAGTTCAGTCGATAGAATGCTAACCTAGCATGCACACTCCTGGTTCGATTCCCAGCACTGCATGAAGCCAGCTGTAATAGCTTGAAACAGAAGAGTCAGAAGGGTGTCTTCTGCAATATAGCAACTTGGAGGCCAGCCTGGGCTACATGAAATCGCATCTTAAAACAAAGGTGGGGAGTGGGTGTGATTCTTGCCAGTGATCCAGTGGGGGAAAGTAAAGCCCAGAGGAGGCCAGCCATTCCAAGGCACAGGAACGGGAAGGTTTAGACTTCCTATTTGGATACATGGGGAAGCTGAAACTCAGAGAAAGCCAGGCATTGTCATATATGCAGGCAAAAAAAGCTGATTCTCCAGAATGGAAAAGAGTGCTGGTGAGGTCACCAGCACCCACTGCCCAGGGTAGCTGGCACGCTGGGCTCTTCGAGGAGGGTCTGGATATTGTGCAGTAACACTGCAGGTGCGGCCTGGGCCAGTGAAGACACTTTGTATTTGTAAGATGCACTCTTGTACGTTAAGGAGCAATTACGGGAGGCTGGGACCCATCTAGGGCTAAGTCCTAGATCCACATACTGGGAGTTGGGAGGAGGCAACAGCTGGAAATAGCTGAGAGAGAGGAGGGTTATAGTCTGGCGCCCAGCCCAAGGACCCCCTTCCCCAAAGAGTGGAATACCCCTTGAAGAATTATCCAACATCTTTCCATCAGTGACAAGTGCTATAATTTCTATGAGGCATGACAGACACTGGGTACATGAAGCTATTGAGCACTAGTGCTTCTGAGGCCCTGAAATATGGAACTTATTCGTTCCTTAATTTAGATTTGCCCCATGGGACAGCCATATAAACTTTCTTTTTATTTCTTGAGACATGATCTCAAGAAGCCTAGCCTGGCTTCAAATTTGCTAAGCAGCCTAAGATAACCTTGACTATTTTTTAAATGTATCTAAGTGTTTTGGTGGCATGTAGGCATATACACCACATATGTGCTTGGTGCCCTTGGAGGTCAGAAGTCAGCACCGGATTCCCTGGAATTGGAGTTAGAAGGTTTGTGAGTCACTATGTGGGTGCTATGGACTCAAACCCAGGTCCTCTACAGGAGCAAAGGAGTTCAATCCCAGATAAGCACATGGTAGAAGGAAAGAACCCACTCCAGAGGCTGCCTTCTGCCTGCCACGTGCCTGTACATGATCAGACATAAGTGAATATCAAACACTAACCCAAGACAGGGGCAGAGACATAATACAAAATATCTGTTAGTGAATGAGTGAATTGGATCACTCAATCCAAAAGTCAGGTATTAAACTCCTCCTTTCCCTCAAAAGACACTTTGTGACAGAGCTGGAGCCATGTCTTGGCAGTTAGGAGCACTGCCTGCTCTAGTAAAGAAGCCAGGATCCATTCCCAGCACCCAGCTCAATGACCATTTATAATTTCCAATTCCAGGGGAGCCTGCACCCTCTTCTGACTCCTCACTAGGCATGCAAACATGCATGTAGGCAAAACCACCAATATACATAAAATAACTTTTAAAAAAAGCTACTGCTGGGTGGTATACCATTTGCCTTAGCATGCCCAAAGCTCTGGATTTGATTCCCCACAACCCCCACACAACACAGAAGAGACACCCTGCCACCTACCTAAGACATGCTCATGATAAAGTCCACTAGACATCAGTCTAACCCCTCTAATCTCCTCATCCCCCCAACCACCACTTCTCTCCCTCTCAAAGCCGGATATATCATGTCCTGATATATTTCAGTTTTTTCAATGGTGGTAGTGGATTTAGTTGGGGTAGGGTTTGTTTTGTTTTGTTTTGTTTTGTTTTGTTTTGTTTTGTTTTGTTTTGTTTTTTGAGATGCTGTATAACTCTAGCTGGCCTTGAATTCACAATGTGTCTGGTCTTGAACTCCGAGATTTGTCTGTCTGCCTCCCAAGTGCTGGGACTAAATGCATGCACCACTACTACCCAGCCATGTAAAATACAAGTATGGGTGGAATATGTAAGAATTGCATTGAGTCTGTCAATTACCTCTGGTAATTACAGCCATTTCCACAGTATTAATTCTGCCAGTACCCGAGCACAGCATGTCTGTCTGCCCCTCATCTAATCGAAATCTTAAAACGTTTCATTGTAGAGGTCTTTGACCGCCTTGGTTAGATTTACTCAGTCTGAGGTACTGTTCCTTTTTTTTTTTTTCTAAATTAACTAATTAAAATTTTTAATGCATCCATGCTCTGTCTGAATGTACACCTGCATGCCAGAAGAGGGCATCATATCACCCATGTTGTTGCTGGGAATTGAACTCAAGACCTCTAAGAGCAGACAGCACTCTTAACCACTGAGCCATCTCACAAACCCCAGGTACTTTCCTTTTTAAAGCTATTGTGAGTGAACTCTTTTTCCTAATTTCTTACTACACAGAGTCTTTTGAGTGGGAGAATCATGTTACCTACAAGTAGAGACAATTTGACTTCTTCACTGTTTGTGTCCCTTTTCTTGACATACTGCTCTAGGAAAGACTTGAGCAGTATATTGAGTACAAGTAGAGAGAGGAAGCAACCTTGTCTGATTTCAGAGTTTAGAGAAAATAGTCTCAGTTGGTATAATGTTACCTGCACAGCCTTGCTGTAAGCATCTTTTATTCTGTTGAGGTATATCCCATCAGTTCCTAACCACTACAGGATTTTTACCATAAAGTTTGTGTTGTTTGTTTACAAGTCAGGGTGTCTCTGAGTAGCCCTGGCTGTCCTGGAACTTGTTCTGTAGACCACCCCGGCCTTGAACTCAGAGATCCACCTACCTCTGCCTCCTGAGTGCTGGGATTAAAGGCATATACCACCACAGCCAAGTGAAGCATGTTCCTTTAAAAATGTGTCTCATGTAGCTGAGGCTAGCCTTGACTTCTGATCTTCCTGTCTCCACTTTCCAAGTACTGGGGATTATAGGTGTGGGCCAGCACATGTGGCTGCCATTCCTTGGGCTCAGAAAGGAAGTCCCTTTGCTTTATAGAAAATACTTTATTATTCTGGGTTGGAGAGATGGCAGCTGCTCTTCCAGAGAATGTGGGTTTAAATCCCAGTACTCACATGGTGGCTCAGACCTCTGTTCCAGGAGATCTGACACTCTCCTGTAGCTTCCGAGGGCACTACAATCATGCAGTGCACTAGCATACATGCAAGCAGAACACAAATGCACATAAAGTAAATCTTTGAGAGTCTGTAAATTTTGTGTATGTGTGTGCACAAATGTGTGTATGGGTACCACAACAGCACGTGTAGAGGTCAGAGGACAACTTGCAGAAGTTGGTTCTCGCCTTCCACTGTTTGTTGCTAACATAGAATACAGGACTTCAGGTAGTGAGCACTTTGACCAGCTAAGCCACCCCACTGGCCTGAGTCACTTGGCTTTATGTCACCCAGCAAGAAAGCATTTTGCCCATCTACTATAAGGCCCTGTTGGCCTGAAGATGGGATGCCAACTTCCGTTTCCAACAAACACCAGGACCACAGAAGAAGTGTGACCGAGGGCTGATATCAGAAGCTGCATATGAAGCAATGCCCTTCTAGACTGCTGGACCCCTGAAGGACTTTCTCCTGACTGTGGCACTGCTGTTGGACCTTGGGCTCCAGTGTACTGCTCTCTAGGTCTCAGGCACAGGCAACTCTTGAAGGCCTTCATTATCCCCTGGACAAGCTCTCACCAGCTCAGGCCCAGGGATCCAGAGGGCGAGGGGTTCCTCTGTCGTGTTTATGTAGGAGATGACACTCCAATCAGTGAGTAGGTGACACTGTTTTTAAAGGGAAGGGCCGGTGGTGAGGAGAGGAGGGTAGAGATAGAAAACACAGGAGAACAGAAGAAGTGAAAGAGAGAGGTGCCCATGGCCTCCATGGAACCAGGGACATCGTAGACAGTACTTTGAAATCCTGAGCTTTAAAGGAGAGAAGGAATTAATTAAAATCCCCTATCTTCAAGACCCCACCTCACAAGCTGCTGCTTACCCATGACATCTGTGGGGTCCCCTGTCTCTGACTGTGTATCATCCCCAATACACCAGTAGGGGTCAGTCATTCCATCTGGAAACAGATTTCCTCAGCTCTGCAATCTCCCAGGCTGACTGGGAGACCCTGGAGAGGATTTCAGGACACTGACTACTAATCCAGCTCCATGCCAATGGCAACATATTTGGTCTTCCCTGAACCACGCACTAGAGCATGCCACCATGCCAGCTGTCTGGAGCTTCTGAACCACAGAACATGTGAGGAACCAGGAAGTCTGTGCTGCTAAGTTTGGAGGGACTTTTTTTTTTTTCTGAGACAGGGTTTCTCTGTATAGCCCTGGCTGTCCTGGAACTCACTCTGTAGACCAGGCTGGCCTCAAATTCAGAAATCCAC